GCTATAAAATTGCAACATAATGTAACCTTCAGTAAACATAAATCCATGGCGACTGTGAATTCTGGTCAAATAGTCGTAAGTACCCCTGGTAAAATCAGGAGCTGTTTTGCAAACGATTCTTGAATAGGTGGTTGTCCATACCATACTAACCGTTCATTATGGTCACAGTAACAAGCTAGTATGACGTGCGTGGGTCTTGGCAGGCTCAGAAAGGCTGTCCGGTGTTTTGGACCACAGACCAAAACATTCCAGCATGGCTGTTGGGTCACTATGGTTACGTTATGAATTCAACGAAGAGCATTTGGGTCAAGGATGTTGCATTTGCTATAGGACACAGAACCAAAACAAGACATCAAAGATTTCAAACTTCCTGGATGTAGGTATAGTTTGTGTTAATGGATTTCGTCATAGAGTGAATTATCAATGTATGATGAAACTCTACTATCATACCATGGTTTATGTTTCATCATGTCATGTTATGTTTCATCAATACTTCCGCACCAGAAGTAACAAAACCTCATAACATGTAAGGTAGACTGTAGTGTTTGGCTGTTGGGCTTCTCTGACAGACAGTCTTTCCGTGTTGGAGTGTGAAGACCTGTCAGAGAAACCTAGCTGCTAAAAAAAACGTTTCGGTCTCGCACCCTAGCATCTGCTTGAAGTTTAGCACCCTACTGAATTCCAATTTGCATCCAAGTCCCCTGGAGATCCGAATCTCCAAGCAGGTCCTAGGGTGGCAAAAGTTAGATGTCTAGAGTTAGATGTTCAAGGGTTAGGTGTAACAAGTCGATCGGTGCAATGTAGCCAGCTGCCGCCGCACCGCGTGCCTGCGAAGCTGGTGTGTTATGCCGAAGGGCGGATATACCGGCTATACAGATACAGATACAGAAAAGACAGTATCAAATTGGCCAGGCAGTATCCACTATCATATCCAGAAAGGGTCCAATGGATACTACCTGGCCAATTTGATACTGTCTTTTGCCACCCTAGGATCTGCTTGGAGACTATGGAGATCCCTGGAGTCGCACGAATCTCTACTGCCTGCCTGTACGGTAGAAATTTGCGGCGTAGTGAGGACCTCTTGTGAGATAAGAAGAAACTTCAGACAATTGATATCGGTGAATGGTACACGTACAATATTGTCACCCGTCAAAATCGACAAATTTGAGTTCCTAAAACTAACATGTAATAGTGTAAAAACCACTACACTAAAAGGTCGCACGACCATTTAGCATGGTCAGTTAGCACTGTTACAATAGTAGACAACAAATCGGAGTTACGAATCATGGAGCACACATTACTTCGTGTGCGCACGTTGATACTTACAGAAGAGAGCTGTTACCATGCACTTGACAGTAAGTTGGCTACACAGACATCACATTATATCCTCCTATGTTTGCCCACCCAAGACTGGAGTCGGTCAAGGCAGTGGTTCATCCACAGGAGCAACATGAAGATGCCCCCTCCCCCGCACACACACACTCACACACACACACACACACACACACACACACACACACACACACACACACACACACACACACGCACACTCACACACACACACACACGCACACTCACACACGCGCACGCACACACTCTCTCTTTCTCACACACACAAATGCGCGCGCGCGCGCACACACACACACACACCACACACCACACACGTGTACATACACACACACACAACACACACACACACACACACACACACACACACACACATGAGAGGATACGGTTCAAAAGCGCCCCCTATAAGCCTATTCGCAATTACTAGTGCACCCTAGCGACGCAAAAATTCTAGAATAACAAACTCGGGGCAGCCATTGTTCCAAGCTCTAGCGTAAGTGTAAGTTTTCAGCTCACACACGGCGTTACCGGCGTTGGCCCGCCTTGGGCTGAGTTCCAACGATGTTCTGGACCTAGCGGGCCTAAAATATCGTGGTATCTTTGTCTTCAAACGGATTTACGGTACGTTTTTTGACGGTTTCCAAGCTATCGCTAGCGCCTAATTAGTTATGCATGCCCCCCTCCCCCATCCTGCACGCCTTCCGTCTTCGAGTTTCCTGCTCGATTTTCCGCTCCAATCTCGATAAAATGAGTTTTGGAGTACCTCTTTTCTTTTTATAGAGGTTATATGTGTAAAATAATGGTGTGATTTTTTAGCTGTATATGTTTTAGACGGTAAAACTTGTAGATAAACCGCATGAGCTTCACGTGTGAGCTTTGTCTGCACAAGGCACGCCACGCCTTTGTCTCGTGTCACCCCAAGCACATAGAGCTTTCTTACCGCAATCCTCACGACGAAGTACCTTTTAAAATAACAATTTATGAATAGCACTTGCAGTGAGGACACCAATTAGTAAGTTTATGTTTTAGTAGTGTTATACATGGTGGTGGGGTAGCGTTTTGTGCATGAAAAATTATGCCAGTGCAGTCAAGACACACCTAAATCCATATAGTGTAAACCTTTGGTTCAATTTTTTCTATCTTCTTCTTTTTACAGTGTTACTTTCCTGAGCTCACCATGCTGATATGTGCAGTAGTGAATTGCAGCAATTCAACATACCACCTAGAGAAATGGAAGTCAGAGACATGCCAAAAACATGGCACCAAAAATGGACTTGGCTGCTGTGACTGTCCCCCACCTTTCAAACTTTTCCCATTTCCCACCGAGAAAAAAAGACCCGATGACAGGAGAAGATGGAACAAACTCATGAACAAGCTTGTGAACAAAACCAAGAAAAACTGGGAAAACAAGCCACATGACCGAGTGTGCTCGCGCCATTTTCCAGATGGCCAACCAACAAAAGCTCATCCAGACCCTGTCCTACATCTCGGGTACACATTGTCTTCATCTGACCAGAAGGTAACGCCAAAGCGACCACCTCCATTGAAACGTGTTGCGGTTCCTGAACCCCAGAAGAAGAAGCCACGTATTGAAGAAGATGTTGTTGTCATGACTCCAGTAGAAAAGACAGAGCATGACCACAGGTACACCTACAAGTGGACTGTCAAGAAGAATGTGATTGTCAGGGTTGTGTAAGTAAACCAATAAGAATCAACACATTGGAAAATAGGGTGCAAGAACTAGAGCAGGAAGTCATCTCGCTTAAAACAGAACAGGAAAAGTCGGGGGGGAAATCATTCAGGAAAAAGCAGATGTTTACTGCTGACACTCTGAAAACTGACAATGATGTCAATCATTGTACAGGCTTAAGGTCAAAACAGGCATTTAATGACATGTTTCAGTACATAGAGCCACATGCCAAAAAGATGACCTACTGGAAAAGTTCAGATTCCAAAAATGGTACCCCAAAGTCAAAAAAGGCATCTTCTAAAAACAAAGGAACCCCCAAAAAGCGTGGCTCAAATCGAAGGCTAAATCTGCGAGATGAGTTCCTCCTCACACTGATGCGATTGCGCCTTGGCCTGACCATCAACTTTCTGGCTATTATATTTGGAGTTGTCCCTAGTACTTGCTCACAGGTTGTGAATACCTGGGTTCGCTTCCTCTCTGTAACGCTACAGCCACTGATTGTATGGCCAAGTAGAGCTGCAATCACAAAGACTTTGCCTCCACAGTTCAAGAAGAAATGCCCTAGAATAAGGTGCATTATTGACTGTACAGAAATTTTTATTGAGAGGCCCAGGTCTTTGGAGTTGCAAGCATCTACTTGGTCTGACTACAAGAAACACAATACGTTAAAGGTGTTGGTAGGAATCACCCCAAATGGACACATCTCATTTCTCTCAAAGGCCTATGGTGGAAGGGACTCTGATGTGTTCATCACACGGGACAGTGGGTTCTTTCACTCTGTAGAGCATAATGATGTGATCATGGCTGACAGGGGCTTTCCCATCCAGGAGGATCTTATTAAGCTAGGGGCTACCTTGGAAATTCCACCTGCAGCACAGGGGAAGCGTCAAATGACCAGAGAGAAAGTAAAAAAACAAAAACTGTTGCCAACCTGAGGATTCATGTAGAGCGTGCCATCAATCGGCTAAAGGACTTTAAGATTCTGGAGGGCACATTCCCCATAACACTTGTGCCAGCTGCAGATGACATTATCAGAGTTTGCGCTGCATTGACTAATCTGCAGCCAGACTTGATCAAGTGAAGAATTTTTGGCACAGTTACTAGTATACGGTTTACCTGTTTACAAGTGCTGGAGATTTTGTTAGGATTCTTTGTACAGATAGAAGGAAAGTAATAGAAGTACTGTACACTCTTCTTTCAAGTTCTTAAGTGTATTTAGAACAAAATAGATATGAATGATGCATGATGTAATATACCATGTGCCCAGCACATGAACACTGCATATAAGAATGTGAACATAACAATAAAGTTTACGTGACAACTTTTCATACACCGACCAGTATTCTAACTTTGATAAACACTGCTGTACTGGTAACAAATTTTAACATGGTTCTTTTGTAATGGAATCAATGTGATCTTACTTTCTCATATTCCTTCAGAAAGTAGTTTATCTAACATACATCTTCTATCTTAGTAGTATATTGAAAATATATGTGTAAGACTACTTGAAAATATATCTAGTACTAGGTTTTCATGAACACTGCATATAAGAGTGTGAATACTAAAAAGTTTACGTGACAACTTTCCATATACCCGTATTCATTTCGCAAACGTTCTGTACATTAAAACTGATGTGATGTACTGGTAACAAATTTAACATGGTTCTTTTGTAATGGAATGATTGTGATCTTACTTTCACATACTCCTTCAGGAAGTAGTTATATATCTAATGTACTGTATATCTTCTATCCTATATTCAAAACACATGTTTAAGACTAAATGTGACTATGTCTACTGCTACGTTTGCTGAA